TCTTCCTGGCTGTTCATACTGTATCTCGACAGCTGTTTACAGAAGCTGAAAGATAGCTGTTTGGGTGTGAAATTGGGTGACATAAAAGTAAATTGTCTGCTGTATGCTGATGATGCAGTGCTTATTGCACCATCAGAGGCAGAACTGCAGGCATTAGTCACGTGTATGAAAGAGGAATGTAAAATTAAAGGTCTCCGTTTGAATGCTAATAAAACTAAGGTTCTGGTATTTGAAAGGGACGAAGAGAGAACGAAGTGTGAAATATGGGTAAATCAGGAATGTCTAGAACAGGTAAATGAAATTGTATACTTGGGGAGTGCTTTTAGCCGGGATGGAAGATGTGATTTAGATGTGGACAGGCGTGTCGCTGCCGGGAACAAAGTCAATGGTGCCCTGACTGCGTTAGTCAAAAGGCAAGGTGTAGTGAAGAGTGCTACGCCTTGCAATACATAACGCAGTGTTGGTACCGACTTTGTTATATGGCAGCGAAACCTGGGTATGCCAGAAGAAGCATAAAAGCAAGTTGAATGCAGTGGAGATGCGTCTTCGTAAAATGTGCGGCGTTACCATGGCCGACCGAAAACAAAACGAAGAGATTCGCAATATGGCAGGTTTGAAAGATGACCTTATCACAAAAATTGATAAGGGCGTGTTTCGGTGGTTTTGGCACGTTGAGCGAATGAGTGAAGACCGAATGGTAAAGAAAATATATAGCGTGAAAGTTAATATTAAAGGTGTCGAGGTAGACCGAGACTAACTTTCGAAGACCATGTGAGCAAATTGCTCGAAGAGGGTAGGGTCAAGAGTACTCGGATACCTAGACGTGCATGTATGAAGAAGATAATGAATTTGATAGAAGCGAAAGAGGTTTGTAAGGATCGTGACTCTTGGTGATCTGTTCTCTCTGGCTACCCCGTCAGGGATTGTGCGTGAAGATAAGTAAGTAAGTAAGTAACACGATAATTCTAAAAAACCATGCCAAGTGTTTAAAGCTAAAAATTTTTTTTTTGTTTATCGATCATTACTCCCTTTGAAAGAAGCTAATGGTCGATAACAGGTGTTCTACTCTATAACCATAGATAAATAAATATGTAGCAAACTATCTACGACACAGGCGTGCGCACTTGCGCAGTTGCCTTTGAAGAACGCCGCGTGCCTCGTGCCGCTTGTTTATGGACGCCGCGAAAAGACACCGCTGTCGATACGTCGCAATACCAATAGTTTGCACTGCGTGGCAACATCGCTTTTTAATGTTCAAGGATTCAAGTTCATTGAATCATTGACTTAGTGACCCAATTCTTTAAATTGCTTAAAATTAAAACTCTACTTTTTGACATAATTACTGGACCGATTACAGAGTCAGCAAAGGCGATAACAAGTATGTGGTTTCATTTATTGCATATATGTGGGACCCCATTCTGTATATACAAGTATATTTCAAGGTATATTTCAAGTATATACTGTATATACTTGAAATATGCCTTGAAATTATTAAATTTATACGAATTCGGACAAAACATGGAATCGTTAAAACTTGTACGACTTTGTTGATTTTAGATATCGATTCTGGAGTATTTCCAGTAAAAGCCTTAAAAATATTCTGAAAATAGCAAATAAATTAGTGTGTTGCAAAACAACGAAATACGTTGAAAGTTAATGGGGTTGTTATAAATTAATTCGCTTAATTCCGCGTAAAGAAAGAAAATCGTGTGTCCTGCCCAGTTTTAAGGGGACCTCCCATTTTCCCCTTAAAACTGGGCAGGACACATCATTTTCTTTCTTTACGCGGAAATAAGCGAATTAATTTATAACAACCACATTATAGATAGATAGATAGATAACTCTTTATTGCATTTATACAAAGTGTTACAATTATGGAATAACTTAAGAACTACAAACGGTGGTCATATCGCTTTAAGCGATTTCTACCTGACAAACCGAACGTAATAGGGAACAATGTAATATATTTTGACGGATAGGTGCAACGTGCAATATAAAATGAAACTGAGGACAAAAACTTATAATTAAACACGATTTATATAAATATATGACTTATATAATATATAATATTATAAATTTAATAAACATAAATAAATAAATATATATATATACACACATTCATACATACATACATATATATATATATATATATATATATATATATATATATATATATATATATACATATATATATATATATATATATATATATATATATATATATATATATATATATATATATATATATATATGCAGAGAAAATTAAGCAAAAAGAAAAAAAAAAACAAGTATTTAAGGTCAGTTAGGGTAAGAGGAACATAGTTTATTTTGAACCCGAGGTTTTAAGCTCTAGGAAGAACATATAATGTTTTATGAGAATTTTGAGATACTTTAAACTTGCCTTAGTTTATCAGCTTTTCATGTTTTAAGAATCATAACGCTAATTTGAAAACTTACGACAGTATCGGCCAAAACATTCAACTTGTACTAACGTTCCTCTTCCCCCTCATCTGGGGTAAGAGGAACATTCATCGTATCTCCTAAGATTGTGATGTTTATTTAAATGTACCTGTTGCTACATTTTAAGTAAAATTTATTTAATAGAATTTGATCGTAACGTAATTGTAAAAAGGTACAGTTTAGAAGAAAAATAAAATAATAAATATAAGGTCAGAGAAACATATATTTATAAACATAGGTTCAGGGCAGGGGTCACAAACTAAAAAAATAATCGTTTGTATTTCAAATTAATCCATTTCTCGTGTAGTACCTGTCCATCACATTGTGGTAAATTGTATAATTTATTTCCTTACTTCCTTCCTTCTCTATTTTCTCATCCCAGTTGCTATCAACTGCTTCTGCCACCATTTTCCTTCCTTCTGATTCATTAACTACATCTGTCGCCTTTTTTCTTCCATCTGTTATATTACTAACTAGCTGTTCCCCGCGACTTCACCCGCGTGCAATTTAAGGTTTTAATTTTTTCCAAGGAACCCTAATTATTTTTCTGTAATAGAAGTAGTCTAAGTTACTCCTTATGACATCTGCTATACGCCAGTGAAAGTCCCGCCAAAATCGGTCCAGCCGTTTCGGAGATTAGCCGGAACAAACAGACAAACAGATAGACAGACAGACAGACAAAAATTTTAAAGTGTATTTTTGTTATAAGTACCGTTTATACTTTGCATCATTTAGTAAAGCGCTGTTATTGTGGACATTACAAATAAACACTTCAATTTAATTATTTGTAAGATAACTGACTCTGCCTCTATTGTCCTTATTTCTGATCCACTAACAGTCTCTGTTGCTTCATTTTTTCATCTGTAATGTTATTATTTTTAAGGTCTGGAATAAAGTTTATGTAATCTAAATCTCTATAATGTCAAAGTCTTCCTCAATTAAGTCTGAGTCCTCATCAATCAAGTCTACAATATCAGAATCATCATGCAAGCTGATGCAATCGGATACGCTGGTAGATGAAGATCATGTTTTGTATTTTTTCTTTGCAGGAAATTTCACATTCTTCATATTTTCCTTCAAACTTACTTGACTTTTTTTCCAGTGCTTTTACCCTTTTTAGAATTTATAATTGACATTTTATTATTTTTGTTCATTGCCGTTTCAAATTTGTTTACTAAAATTACATTTTGTCTTTATTATTTAAAACTATTAAAACATCATAATGTTTACCACCCCTGATATCGGCGAAGAGGAACATACTGTTTCTCTTACCCTGTAAGTACCGTTTCTCTTACCCCAACAATGTTTTTGGAGGTTAAGATTTTAAATTCGATGAAACTTATATTATTTGTAGGGTTTAATCTAAAATATGAAACAAAAAGTAAAGCTTACCCTTTTGTCTTACAATTTTTTCATTGAAATAATCTCTAACAGTAAAATTTTCACAATTTTAGCGCGAATAAAAGTTATGAAGCCAACTCGTGTTCTTAGACTTTGTAACTGTCAAATTGTTTTTCTGTTTTTTTCGGCTTTGGAACATCGTAGCGACATATTTTAGCAACTGTTTGGTTTTTTTTTACTTTACTTATTTATCTACTAATATACCATACAGCTAAACTCTATAGTTTATGAGTTATGGTATTGAGTTCCTCTTTCACCGGTGTTCCTCTTACCCTAATTGACCTTATAAAAAGAGGAAATGCATATAATTTATAATTATGACGGGAAATTCAAATAATACTCCTTCAGTTGTTTTTTAAAAGTCTGTAAAGATTGCGCTTGCTGGATGTTAAGTGGTAATGAATTCCAGAGTCTGGTTGCTTGTGAAGTAAATGACTTATTATAAAAAGAAGTTACGCTGTAAGGAGTGTTCAAAGCCAAGCTATACACTGAACGCAAACTACGATCATGAAATTCATATCGATAGTGAAATTGTTCCTTAAGGTACCTTGGAGATTTCGGATCAAATTTCGGATTATAATGGATTTCCGCAAAGTAACGCCTGATTCTATTAATTATCGTTGAAAGTTACTTCACGAACATGGGTTTTATTCATACTATATTCAATTCTCTCAAAATTTAAGTGAGTTGTAATGTTCAACCTGCACTTTTAGTCATTGGTATTTAGAAAATTTAAATAAACGCAAATAGGATGCTATTTGCGGACAAAGCCATTTTTACCAAGTGGTCTTTAATTTTCTCAATAAACAGTGATAGTCATGAAAATCCGTACCAATGTGATGGGTACTATCAGGCTACAGCAAATAGAGCTTGTAGTGTGTCAATAATGATTAGAATAGAGTTAGAGAAAAATACAAGTTCGTACCAATGAAGCGGAATTTTTTTAGGCAGATATAAGAGATTTTATCATTTCTTTATCTCATTTATTTTCCTTTTCTTGCTACGGCCGTTTATTATCGATGATCGATGTTATATACAAACACGGCAATTTTGCTCATGAAACACGGCAATTTATAATTTGTTTCTGGTAACAATGAATATATTGCTCTCTGAAAACAGAATGTTCAATGTTCATGTTCATGACACGACACGACATTAGTCTGTGGTGTCGAGCAATGGCTGACAGAAAGAAAAAGTACGGCTCGTAAGCGCATCGCGAGAATATTTTTATGCGTTTCTTTTATAAAACTAATTTATCATAACGCGTATTATTTTTCGAAGTGTATTTTCAGTGTTTATACTTGTGAAAAATCTGACTGTGGTAAAGGAAAGTGATAAAGTATAAGAACGATAATTTGTGTGATACCTTGTGAAATTTTTGTTATTGGTAAGTTGACGTTTTATAAAAGTATCTTTGATAGCTTCGCTTTAAAAGTAGCGTAGCGTACAATGTTTTTTCATTATCACTTGTATATACCGAATAAATACACATTTACGACTGATGGTTCTTTGCCAACCTGTCGTTAATTCTAATTCGATTCAACAATCTCCTTTGTACAGCTTGTGACAAACAATGATTTTTCTTTATTTTGTGTATTATATTTCTTATGTTTGGAAATTTTAATTACTTTATTCAAAATACTTAGAATTCTTTCTCCACTTTGTTTTAGTCTGATTTAGATAACACATTTTACTTCTTGTTGTATTCAATCAATTTATCCGTAATTAATAAAACTGGTAATATTTACATAGCTAACACCATATACCATATTAGAAATATTACATTAGCCCACTGATTAAAATGCACCTTAGTGGATTGTTAATCTATTCTCTGTTGTTGTCTATCCAAAGTTTGACTTAACTTTTTAAATATTAATAACAATATGTCACACTATATAGATAAAATGAATAATTATTAAATAGTTACAATGAAATGAGAAAGGTGTAATAATTTTTAGTGCCACAAAAGTATGTTATAATTTAGGTTTTTATTTTTATTTTTATTGCACGGAAACCTAATTTTTTTTTCTTAAATAAAAGTAGCCTAAGTTACTCCTTATAACATTACCTGTCTGCCAGTGAATGTCCCATCAAAATTGGTCCAGCTGTTTTGGAGATTAGCTGGAACAAATAGACAGACAGACAGACAAAAATTTAAAAAAATTGTGTTTTTGTTATAAGTACCGTATATACTTTTAGTGAAACGCTGTTATATTACAAAGAGACACTCCAATTTTATTTATTTGTATAGATTTGGAAAATACAATCAGTTACAATAGTTCTTATAAATGTCAGGAAAAGTACAGTCATATTTCATTATTTTGTATTTCTATCAATAAATATGACTTTTAGGTAAAAATGCTGTGAGCAAAGTAATATTTGATGGCTCCATGGCGCAGTGGCGTTGCAATGAGTTTGAGATGCTGTGGGCCGCAGGTTCGAATCCCTCACGGAATAAGTATTTGTACGGCCTACAAATAATTGATCCGGATCTGGATGTTAGTCCTTGTGAATTTTATGTATATAATCTGCCCACAACACAGGAGAATATCCTAGTGTGGAGGTAACTTATTTTTGAAATCAAGAGTTAAAAAAAAGAGTTAATACTTTGTTATTAACCACTAGTACCAAACAACAAACCACACAGTTTGAAATAAAAAACTTTGTTATTGATGGAAGTAAACCTTACAGAACTACATCAAATATTTGAGTCACTTTATTTGCCTTTCTTTTAATTATAATATTGTTTTACATACAATTGGGTCAGAAAATTAATAAAAAAACCAGCCAAGTGCGAGTCGGACTCACGCTCCGAGGGTTCCGCACAAATCCATAGTTTAAAATTATTAAAAATATTTTTATTATATGAAGTAAATAAAAATTTATGCTTTTCGCAATTTTTCCTTTATCTGTGCTACAATATGTTGCTTCGTACCAAATTTTAAGATTCTGAGTTCACGGGAAGTACCCTGTAGGTTTTGATTCCCTGATTCCCTGGCAAATGTCGAAAATTTGTGGCATAAACGGCTGTATCTTTTGATTGCGTTGGCTTAGAAGTTTGATTTTTGCATAGCTCCAAGGGACAGTAAACTTGAGTATTTCACATGAATTTCAGCTTGATACCTCCACGCGTTCCTGAGAAAAAGGGTCTTGACAGACAGACAGACAGACAGACGGACAACAAAGTTATACTATAAGGGTTCCGTTTTTTCCTTTTGAGGTACGGAACCCTAAAAATAACTTTGTTTACTGTATCTAATAAGAAAACATGCTTGAATTTTTTGATTGAATTCCTATGTATCATAAATGTTATATTTTATGTTACATTTAGATTTAGCAGTTGCAGAAGCAGTGATGGAACTTGTTGACCACACCTTTATACCTATAGTAGTTTTGTCACAGAATTGAAATATATGGTTTACATTGTATTTTTTTATACTGTAATGTAATATTTTTCTCCTGTTCTTATTATTTTGTATTGTACAGTATTGTGCAATAATAATGTAGCCAAATAGAATATTTGAAAATAGAACATTTTCATTAGATTTTATGCTATGAAATATTTTGGACATCTTTACCTATCATATCAATAGTCAAAATTATTTTGTTTGATCTTTTAATATTCTGCTTTGTAATGTGAAGCACTGCTGATGCACTTTAAAGATTTGCTTTAAAATTACAGCAACTTAATTTTTTATTTATATGACTGCATAAATAATTTTCTTTTCTAAAACTACCATTTCACTACTGTTTGAATAATTGTTATGCTTACTTGAAGTAATTAACAGGAGTACTGATAATTTTTATGGTCTCAACAGGTTGTATTAAATACAATATTGCATCTGTTTTATTTTTAACAATCTTCAAAAAAAGAGATACTCCATTAGACTGTTTTTTTTTATGTGTGTAACCTCAGAACTTTTTTCTAGGTTTTTTTGACCACCAACCAATTTTGATGATTCTTTTTTTATTTAAAAGCTGGTGCTTCTCATGTGGTCTCATATATATATGATCAATATGTGACCAGTAGTTTTTGAGTTATTCTTAATAATGCTTATTTAATTGACTTTGACTACATTGATGTTCCCATTTTATTTATATTGAAGCCGGTTGTACAAAATTTTTAATTTTAACAAATTTTTTTCCATAGGGGACAGAACCAGACTAATTGTATTGCGTAAATTGAAAAATTCTCAGAAATGACTTTGCTTTAAAAAAGTTAATTACAAATCTGTCCATTGCAGACCTTTCAAATAACTTATACGATAATCATGATATAGTATTATGTGCGGATGACACTTCCTTGATTTTTAAACTTAAACATCTATCTTTTAAATGTGAAGAAGTGAATAATGCTATATCAAAGTTAGTGCATTGGATTAACATTAATAATCTTTTTTTTTTTATACGATAGGGTAACAAACGAGCACACAGTCCACCTGATGGTAAGTGGTTGCTGTGACCCATAGACATCTACATTTATCCTCAATGAAGAATCAAAATGTAGATGCATTGTTACCCGTGAGGACTAAGATGGAATGCCCCTTTTCCAGTAAAATGGGTCTCCGGTTCTCTACACTCACCATACGAAACAAAGCAGTGTCAAGCTGCCATTTTATGCTGGTATTCTGTGAGAGCGTGGTCCTTCCCCGGTCGAGCCGACAAATTCGTGCTACAACTATACTACTAATATAGCTGCAGCATGGCTCTACCACATATAAAATCTGCATTTGAACGGCAATCAAACTAAATGTATTAAACTTACAACAACAAATGTTAAAAATCTGAATATCAATGTGTTTTTAAATAGGGAAGAACTGAGTTGAATGTTCTGTTTTTCTTGGCATCACTCTCCATGCAAAGCTTCAGTGGGGCCCCCATATATCCAAACTAGCAAGCAGATTAAACTCTGCAGATTATGCTGTAAAAAAGATTAGAGATCTCACTAGTGTTGCGATAGCTAGATTAGTTTATTTCAGTTATTTCCATAGCATAATGTCTTATGGGATTTTGCTATGGGGAAATGCGATTGATTTAGAAATTATTTTTGTTTTGTAGAAGAGGTGCATAAGAGCTTTTTACAACCTTAAACCAAGAGTGTTCGCTTGCTCGAATCAGTCACTCCGCTGGTCGCTGCATAAATAAATAATGTTTAAATTTAAATTGGTGAAAAGAATAAAATATATTTATTTAAACTAATAGCAGAATAACATTTTAAAAAGTACGTCTTAGTATATTTTATGATTTTCATTATATTTTAATTTTGCATAATGAAACATTTATCAGAAAAACACGTGGCTGCAAATTATTTTGCTATCGAGCAGAATGCAACACAACATGTTTCTAATGGCAGTTTACTTATAGACTAGAACTTTGGCTAAGTTATGGTTTTTGGAACGAAGTTCCTTATCGGACGGTACGAATTTGGCGGATGAGGGCTAGGCGAGAAAAAGTAAGATTTTTTCGTCACGACCCCTTGTGACGTAGTGTAGACGCTCTTATCGGCCATAAGGAAGCGCGATGGGATAATATCCAGCTCCCTCGCACTTTTTCTTATCTTACCATGAAAGAAATATTATTTTATTCTAAATGACGCTTCATTTGAATAGACGCTAGTATTTCATTTATTTGTATTTATTAATAAATAATATAATACGTTTATCAATAATAATATACTACGAAAGGAACTTCGTTCCATCCGAGTGTTCCACGACACTCACGCATGTTTTTTTAGTTCAAAAAATGTCAATTAAATTTGAGAAAAAATAAAGAGGGTGACTTTAGGGTAACCTAGCCTTAACGGTATACGGAAATATTATGTAGTAGGTAATGTTTACATTGTTACTTCCTATGTATCTAACAATCCACTGCTCTACATAGAATCTTTGCTATTGAAGAAAGAATTCTGTTGTATTTTTAAAGATAAGTTGATGCTGTGAAACCGTAGGCATCTTCATTCATTCTTCATTAAGAATCAAAATGCAAATGTGTTGTTACCCCCGACATCAAAGAATGAATGCTTCGTTACTAGGGAAAAGTGTCTCCGATTCCCGTCACTCACTGTGCGGAACACAGCAGTATTGTATTATATTTTATGCTGATATGATGTACGATCGTAGTTCAATACTCAATAACTTTATTGCCTTCCATAGGTTAGAAAAGGTGTTACATAGTTATGATATCTCTATGGGCCCTGATGGGCACAACAATATTATGAAGGAGGAACATTTATTATTATTATTGTTAAACAATTATTTAATATGAACATTTATCATATTATTTAAACATACACACATTGAATTAGAAATACGGTTATTATAATTGTTATTAGTTCTTCCCCGGTCGAAATGATCTGATGGTGCTCACTGCAGCGTTGGTCAACCACAT